TATTAGTGATGATGATGATGATGATGATGATGACGATGATGATGGTCGTGACGACGACGATGACGATGACGATGCCAATGCGATGACACTGACGATGACGACGATGGTCATAAGAATGATTGTGCCTGTGAGGATTATTTAGGTGTTTGGTCCAGGTCGTGATCTTGTTTGATGAATGGCCCGTCATATCAGAACCCTGAAAAGGTCTTAGGCTTCAGGGGTGTCGTGCTCTCTTGCTTTCGTCCGGGCACATTCAGATAATTTTACCGCCCCGCTCTCGACTACATTCATCCGGTCTTTTGGACTTCGGGGTACTTTACTTGGACTCAGATGTCTTGTTTGTTTGAAGGATGCTGCCATTTAGAGTTTAGAGTCTGTATCCGGGTACGGCAGGTTCTCTGGGAACCGGAGAGTTTTCCCACCTCGCTTCTTTTGCGTGGGCGCTTTACCCGCCGCCGTGGCATGATCAAAGCTCTGAAATCCGAACTCCCGCGTTGTAAACCGCCTCAACGACAAGCTCTGAACAACCCCCCCAGCCTTAACCCAGAAACCCCACACTCTCTACAGTGTCTGCAGCAGCTAAGGTGCCTGGAAGCAAAAAAGTTTGGCGACGCAGGCAGCCGGGGAGGAAGAGCGAAGCGCAAGTTCCAGTCCGGTGGAGAGTACAAACGGGTTGTTCCATGTTGTGTCTTCTGGGCATTACAGGGTTTCAGGATTTTAGGGTTTAGGTTGAGAGCTTTCGGGCCTGAGCGCGTTGAGTTTAGGGTTTCAGAGTTTGCAGCGACTGCAGCAGCCCTTCCCCGCACGCTGGATTCTTGAACTTCAAGCCCTCGGGGCCGCGAAGAGTTGAACCTCTGCTTCAAGCAACGGTCGCCATTTTGTGGACCCTAAACCCTAAACCCCTAACCCTAAACCCTAAACCCCTAAATCCTAAACCCCTAAACCCTAAACCGTCCCTTTCGGCGACATGCCAGAACTGGTTTCTTTGGTGCGATTCAACATTGACAGCTGCCGCAAGCTCCCGGCACCGGATGCAGAATCAATGGTTTCATGTTTGAGTTTAGGGTTACCTCAATTTCCTAGGGTTACTGAGGAAAATGTGCTATAACATACCCCCAAACCCTATTCAAATCAGGAAGGCCTCTATAGTTTTTCAAAAATGTCCGCAAGACTTGACTGGTCAGGCGCCGAGGTTGTCCTGGAAGAGCGGATGTTTGGGTCGGAGCCTTTGCCACTGTTCAATTGGACCCTTGATCCCGAAAAGGTTAAAGCCCCCCAAAATCCCCAAGCCTCTAGGGCTTCAGGGTTTGACACCCTCCGACACAAAGCCCTCTAGCATCCTGACAAGAAACAGGTTGTCCTAATCCTTTAGACGCTCTGTGACGTCTCTTAGCTAGGCCGAAAAGCAGTATGTTTAGCAGGACCGCTGTGCGGAGTAAGTGGTAATCCCGCCGAGTATATTTCAGCTTTGGAAAGCCACTACTATTTTGTTGAGGGGGCTGCAGGAAGGGCCCGCACTTTTTTTTTTTCTTAC